GAATCAGAGTTTGAAAGAGCTGGGGAGGTGGGAGGGATCTCCTCCTCACACACTTGTCTTCTTTCTCTGGACTTCTCATTTTTTATGCCTCAGCAAATTTTCTAATTTTCCTCGTTAGCGGCTAATTTACAAGTCTTGACACTCTTCCCACCTGTCCCTTTCATTGAGAACTTTGCAAAACTGGAAATAGCCGCTTGCTCACTTGTACGATGTTGCTGGTTTCTCGGCTTCCAGAAAACAGGGCCTGACGACGCTGGGTGAGATCAGAGACAATTCCAAAGCCCCGTGAAGTGGCGAGAGGGGGCCCTTTTCTCCCTGTGGGGGGTTCGCGACGGGAGACGGTTCATACAGACCATACCTCGGTGTGAACACGACTCCTATGGCCAGAACCCTGACCCCCTCCTCTGCCGACTATGTCCCCTCCTAGTCGTGTGGCCTGAATTTGAGTCTGGAGCCTAGATTCCCAGAGAACTGAGGCAGCCTTGCACGTGAACACTTGGTGGTTAAGAGAACCTTAACCCTTGGATGGGATCTTTTTGGAAGTTCTCAAATAAACGGGTATCTGCAGTGAGTGTACGCCTCAGCTGACGCTTTGGCTTTGGATATGACACTCTCTCAAGCTCAGCGGTGATGGCGTTAGTATGGACCAGCATCCACTAAGCCCTTGCTACTTCCAAGGAACAATCTGAATTGGCTCATGCTATCTTCAAAGGAGTCCCTCCAGGGTGAAGCAGGGAGAGAAAGAACAGAAGTTGGTCTAAGGCCTAAGTACCCTTACCCCAGGGTCTAGCTATAGGTACTTGTCCAAGAGTCTTGAGGTGCCTGAGCTTCCTGGTATCTCTGCAGCAAGACCATCTAGAGAATGGGCAGATGCCACTTAAGTCTCTGATCGAGCCAGCACCCAGGGTGCGCTAGCGTGGGAAAAGCTTCACTTTATAGGGGAGAACCTCGGGCTTGCTCAAAGAGGCAGAGATGCAGCCTCAGGATTGGTTCTGGCTTCTGTCCACCTGCCTCTCCAACCACCAGAATGTGCTGATGATTGGAGGGGCCTCGTGGTTCAGGAGAATGAGCCCATGGGACAGAGGCAGGCCACGGATACTGGTGATGTCATATACCCTTAATTCTTTCTTTAAAAAAAATTACATTTCTTTATCTTAATTACTTCAAAGAGTAACTACTCATCTTTATTTTTCCATCGATTTATATACGTGGGCAGAGGTCAGAGGACATCGTTCAGGAGTGTTGGTTCTCTCCTTCCACCACGTGTGTCCCAGAGATTGAACTCATCATGGGGCTTGGCAGTAAGTGCCTTTGCCCATTGACCTGTCTTGTGAGCCCTCAGTTCTTTCTTTTAAGGCCTCTAAAGGAGTCTCACCCCCAGGGCAATGGCAGTGGCCAAGAAGGCTCCATTTAATGGGGCCTGAAGCAGCCATGCACAGCAGAAGTGACGTTCCCCAACATCTGAGGTCCTCCCTGGGTTGCCTGGAGGCCTGTTTTGTATCTAGAATTTTCTATTCATAGACCCTTAGAGTGCTGCTCCTCAGCCTGATATAACTGTCCACTGTACCTGGCTGGGCCTCCTGGGCACCTGAGATGTGTCTCTGGGTACCACTGTCCCCAGCCCAGCAGTAAAACCCACAACCTCTGAGCAGCACCCTGGGCTGTTTCTCATTACCCACCTGCATCAGTTTGATTTTCTCTGCCAAGTAAGGGGTGATGGGCAAAGCTAGCCCCACAGATCCACGATTTCTCAGAAGCTAAGTAATGTCACCCAAACAGAAGGCGAGGTGACTGTCCCATGTGTCAGTCAGAACAGGCAGGAGATGGGAAGCAGAGACACGGGTCACCCTATCCACATTTCACAACGACTCCTTCCTGAACCCCCTTTCAACCTGTCCTTTTATTAAGCATCTGGCCACATGGTAAGTTACATCAGAAGGCTTCCAATCTCAACCTCTTCAGGAGGACCAGACAGAGAGGGCACCCGGAGCCTTTGTTATGGACCCAAGTGGTTTGTGTCTGGGTACGCTGTCAAGCATGAGCCAACCAATGGCAGAGGAAAGGTGACCACAGTGAGAAAGAACATCACGGGGAGACGGCACATGGCACTAGCACTCAGAACGCCAGGGCCGGGCTAGCCTGCTCATAGTACGAGTCAGAGTCTGTTCCTGCTCATTGCAACATACCCCGTAGGAGCCGGGTACCTGTCTGAAGGTTGAGGCATACTTGGGACTTAGAAAGCAGAACCCTATATCCCCTTTTCACAGTCTCCTCCCATGATGCACAGCACCGCCTCCTCCCATGATGCACAGCACCATCTCTTCCCATGATGCAAGCCTTGTCCCACGGTCACAACAAAGCTGTGACCTCATTCCCCCTCGGGTCAGCTCACTTGACCATATCTCTTGCAAGCCACTCTCCTGCCTCGGGTTCTTAGAGAGCAATCTCTCACGGGCCACGCCACCTTCCAGGCACTCTTCTGCTGAGGCTTGCTCTGTGGTCAGCGGTGCCTTTGGATCGCTAGGACGGAGCCCAGCCGAAGGACCGGCCCCGGTGCAGCTCTGATCTATAGAGTTAAGCCTTTCTCACTCAGTGAGGCCTGTGACTCAGAACACAAGCTCTCAGTCCCCCTCCTGCCCCCAAAAATTAGGAACAAGGAGGGCAAAATCTTTTCATCGACAAACTTTTGTCTTCTCAGGTTGCCCGTTTACATTGTTTGCCAACCTCAGACAACCTAAATTATTTTAAATCTGTGTTTTTTTTTTTAAAATCTTAGAAAACCATGAAAACAAAATAGGTATCTTTATCACATTCTACACTTTAGCTCTTGGCTAGACGTCTGACCGGTGCATAAACCACAGAGTGGAAGTCCTGGGGCCTATGGACAAGCTTGATGTCTCAGAAGCAGCAGCTGTAGAGAGGAATGGCCAAAGGGTATCTTAGTCTGGGAGGAACACACGAACCCCAGGGGCTCCCTTGGAGACTCAAGAACTAGGACATTAGTGGATATTTATGCCCGTGTCCTGGTGTTTCCCAAGTTCACATGTGCCTCTCTATTCCCAGCTTAATCTGCTACCAGGACACTTGTGGGATTGAGTACTTGGCTGAAGGTGGATTCCTAGGGTGAGCCCTCACCTGTATGACAGTGCCATCATAAACAGAGAAATACAGACACACACCATTCACCTCTTGTGGACACAAAGGGAGCCTTCAGAACCTTCAGGGCCTCTTGGGAAACCTGTACTTCAGACTCTAGAACTTCCAAAGGATAAACTCCTGCTGTTGGAGGTATCCAGTCTGGGCTCTCTGCTTAGCCAGCTCTGGAAAACGAATATCGCTGGGGGCAATCTTAGATAGGGTTTGTGTAATAGCTTTTTAACAACCCCCCCTCCCGATGTGCTAGCTGCTTAGGGGTTTGGGGGTCTGGTGGCTACACAAAGCTGGCGAGTCTATATGCTCCACCTGGAGATTCCCAGGTAGAAACAGTGATGCTGACTTGTTAGAGAGAGGACCCTGCAAAAGTTTTCTACCTTCTTTCAAGATCTCTGAGGATCCCGGGGCTCCAGAAAGCATGGCTGAAATGCCCTTTCACCTTTGAACTTTACTCTCTGACTGCTAACATTCCTCCTCTACAAAGCAGGGCTAGCAGAAGCAAATGAGAAGAGGACACAGCAGTATTTACCAGAAAGCAAAACTCTTTCTAATTGCCTTCCATCCAGTTGCCTGGTTGCTGTTGATCCTCAATGACTCGCTTCCTGGAAACAGTGTCATCTTCCTAACCAGGTACTCACAAAGCCGAGGAAGGGATGATTTAATAAAGGCCAATGCCTGGCAGTGCTGGCAGGCCTATGACCAGGACCAGCACAGAAAGGCAAAAGGGAGCCTGACACTGAGCAGGGCTGCTAATCACACGAGAATCCTGAGGCGGTCAGAACCTGTCTGCTGCCCCGGTATAAGTGAGTCTCCTAAACACATGGGTTGGCAGATCCACAAAGACAGAAGGCTAAAGGGGGGGGGGCAACCTTGTGTGATAAGAAGGCTGTAGTATACAGAATGGTAACGGTCATACAACCCACAGGACAGACGGTGCCACCAAAGGGCTCGCTGACGGGAAACTGGCTCTACATCTATTATGTCTTGCAGTCTTCCAAAATTCAAAACACAAAGCCATGTCTCAGGCCTGGTCCCCACAACACAGACAACCTTTCCCGTGGTCTTCAGAAATAACCCTTCTTCCCTGCCGAGATCAGGCCTCCTGACGGCAACAGTCACGCTTGGTTTTTGGATGACACGGTTAGCACAAAGTGACTTTGCACAAGAAATGAAGAAGGTCCAGGGTAGGCTGGATCCTTGGGGCTGCGGGGGCACAGAAAGGAAGCAGCTGGCAGAGACCCTTCGTGTTCCAGGGGCTCGTGACAAAGTGTCTCCTGAGCCGGCCTGGCCGTGTCACCGGGAACACAAAGGACACTGCCAAGAAAGTGATTTTAAACCTAATTGTTCCCGTTCCTTTTGTTAAATGTCTTTAGGGGTGCCTGGAGATCTGCTCACAGAGAGTGCAGCGAAGGCGCACACCGTGGAACTTGTAAACAAGACTGAGGAGCAGCCACTTTTCCCTAAAAACAAGCGGTGCCGCCGTGTGCAAATTTTTACACGCTGGGTACAATCCCTGCACAAATACTCAAGGAAAACCATCCCAGCTCCCTCCTGGCCTGGGGTGGGTTTGCGGCTGGGGGCCATCTTTGGTGACCAGCTTCTCCTGCAGCCGAGCGGGCAGGGGACACTTAATTGTGGAGCCGGTTTGCTGGCAGGAAGCCCTGCCTCGTCCAGCGGGCAGCCAGCATGATAATGAGACAGTTTCTATGGAAATGAGCTTATAACTATTCATTTTCTCCCCATTCCCGACCCATCCACAAAGAGGGTTTCCAAAATGACCCCCATTTTCCTACCCCCAACATCTCCCTCACACCATCACCCGACCCGCTAATCAGCTCGGGGAGAAAGGAAAAAGGAAATGCCGTCCTTTGACAAGATGTGGGAAACCACCTCGATTTCTGCTCCGTGTGGCTGTGACCAGAAAACAAAGAACCCTCGCCGGATCCGGGGGCCAAGTTTCAAGTAAACTTTTCCGGACGCACCAAGCAAGCGTGTTTTTGTGTGTACTTGCTGGTAAGATCTGAACGCTCCCTTGCCACTTCTTAAGAACCTCTGAACACCGGTCTGTCCTGCCAGAACAATCTGTCTGTCTCCTTTCTCACTGCGTGCTCTCACCTGTAAGCTGCTCTTTTTAACCCTCTGGGTGTTTTAGAACCGTAAAGAATCGAGGAGGGGCCTCGGTTTAAATGATAGGAAACTCAATCCCAGCCCACCTCTCGACTTCTCCAGGATGAAGAACAGCAAGGATGGATATCACGGACCTACATTTTTGCTGTGTTTTCCTGAGCCTTTTAAGAACTCTAGATTGCCCAGGAGACATGGTGATGGAATAGGGGAAAGGCTCAGACCCATAGAGGCATTGTGACTGACAAACAGCACCACGGGTCTCAGGCCCTGCTTAGCCCGTTCACAGCTGTGTGGCTCTGGATCTGATAAGGCAACTGACATCCAGGAGCCTTGGCTGTTTCCCTAGAAGTCCAGGGAGGACAGGGACTCACCTGCACAGGGGCATGGTGGGGGAGGGAGTGACAGGTGGTAACTGTGGCCTCTGGCTTGCTATGTCAAGGCAGAGCTTGCTTCCACTAAATGTGGATCTAGGACACACACACACACACACACACACACACACAGAGAGAGAGACAGAGAGAGAGAGAGAGAGAGAGAGAGAGAGAGAGAGAGAGAGAGAGAGAGAGGGGGAGAGGGAGAGGGAGAGAGGGAGAGACAGAGAGAGAGAGACCAACCCTAGATTTAAGGCCTGTCCACCCAGGGAAGGAGGATTTGGGAGAAGCAGATCTGAAGGTCACAGAGTTACTGTGACCCTTCACAATGTCAGCAGCTTCTGTGCACACAGTAGGTATAACAGGAATGCGGGAACAGATGGTGAGTTCATAAATTGGGGGGGGGAGGGGCAGGACATACGGTATTCTGGCCATGCCACCAGAATTGGTGTGCACTAGGCACCCAGGACACTGTGAGCGTGGGGGATCTGAGGTAGCTACAGTGGCCAAGAAAAGGCCCCGCCCTCCACTGGTCATACGTCCTCTTTCTGTCCTGTCCAAACAACCTAACGTTCACTGCTAGTGTCTGGGTGCCAGTCCCTGCAGGGCCCACTTGTTTATTGGCCACAGTCTAGCCATGAAGCTCTGCCTACGGCCCAGAATTCCCCAGAGATGATCCCAGTAGAGTCTGTTAACCGCCCAGTCTAGATGGCTGGCCAGAAAACAAAAAGATGAGACAGACAGACAGACAGACAGACAGACACACACAGACAGATATACAGACACGCATTCACACACACACACACACACACACACACGATTGTGACACTGTAATAGAGAACTGTTGGGCAAGTGTATCCACACAGGAGTGGGGTATTCTGACACTCAAGAAGCAGCCATGCCTTAATCTGCCTGTGTCTCCACGTGTCCTGCGTTTTGTTTAACAACCTGACTTTCGGTGAGCACACCTTTCCCGAGCTGCTTCCTCAGGCAGTGTTTCTCCTGGTCCTCTGCTGTCCATGACAGATATGCTGACTCCAGGTTCCTGTGTGAAATCCCAGCACCTCAGAATGTGGCTGTTTGAAAATGGGGTGTTTGTCATTCAAATGAGGCCGGTAGGGTGGGGACTTAGCCAGCATAAGGTGTGCATTTGTAAGGAGAGACCAACTCGTACACACACACACACACACACACACACACACACACACACGACAGTCCTGTGGAGAAGTACCATGTTCAAGCCAAGGAGAGAAGCCTCTGGAAGAGCCAGATCAGAGACCTTGGGCTTCTGACCTCCAGAACTATATCTGAGCTGTTTACAGTCCTGCGTTCAGGTCAGTTCCTTATGGATGCTGAAACAGACAGTGTGCTCTTACTTTCTCATGTCTTGTCTACCTGTCTGTCTCCAGGGCCCCAAGTCCTGTCCCATACTCCTGTCAGAGCCCGCTGGCTTCCCTACGGGCTGCAGGTGGACTAGCTTCCTAATCTTTTTTTTTTTTTTTTAAGGAAAATACTCAGCAAACCCTCAACTCAGCCCCCTCCTCCTCTTCCTCTTCTTCTTCCTCCTCTTCTTCCTCTTCCCCCTCTTCCTCTTCCTCTTCTTCTTCCTCCTCCTTTTCCTTCTTCTCCTTCTTCCACAATGCTGGAGCCTCTCCTTAGAATCAGAATATAAAATCATAGCTTTCTCCAGGTCTTGTGAGATCAATTTAAAATTGCTGACTTTAAAATCCGAGGTGGAAAAAAAGGATACGTTAAAAAAATAATAATAATTAAGTGGCTTTGGTTTAAATTATCATCCACGTGTTCAATACAAGGTAAGTTCTAAGGTCCAAGTTAGTGCTGATTCCTGCTTCGGGAAAATGGGCTCCTTGGGGGAATCTGCAAGCTCTTTCTGGCCAGGGCCTACTCTTCTGAATTGGGGGGTACACCGAGTCAGTTCACAATGACTAGGGTTTAACTCTCCTCTCAAAGGGATTGAAGACGTGCCTGAAACTTGGGGGGAACCCCTGCCAGACACAACACTACAAACAGAATTAACAAACTACGTAAGTGCCATAAATAAATGTAACATGCAGGCTGATTTGGGGACATATGTGTACCGAAAGATTATGGGCTGTTTACTGAAATTCAGCTTTGGCTGACTGTCCTACACTGGTGTCTGCTTAGTCTGAGTTTGACCGTTTGGAGCTGATTTCAGCCTTAGTGATATGAGTTTGACCGTTTGGAGCTGATTTCAGCCTTAGTGATATGTCCACTCAGGACAAGGAAGTTTCTTTACAAGGAACAGAAGCCCTTCAACTATACAAAAGCTTGATGTCCCAATCAGGGAGCTTGCTGTGCGTGCTTCTTGTAAAACAGAAGAGCTGAGGTGTGACAGCCACCCCACTGTCTCAAAAGGAACTATCCTTGTGAGTGTGTCAGAGATGGGAGACCCGGCTTTAATTTTCGTAATCATGTGCCTGCGTTCCCTATGGTCAGAATGTATTCGTTATTTCTATAGTGTGTGTTTTTGTAATGTGTAAGTTTCATTTATGTCAAAGGAAAGGTAAGAATGGAAAGAAATGAAGGTTTGAAGCTGGAGCAGACACGCCTACCTCTGGAGCAGTGGGACGGGGCTGATGCTACTGCCAGGATCCGATCCGGGGTGGGTCATGGGATAACCTAAGAGTTTGGGGCAGTATCAGCCAGCTCATAACCAACCCAGAGACTTGGCTCATCTTGTATGTGGCCATCTCGGTGGACAACGAACTCAGGACCACTCAGCATGGCCTCCTGGACACAGTGTGTGCTGACAGATGACTGGGTTCTGCAGGACTGACTCTGGGACTTTTTCGGAAGTCAGTTCAGGCTCACTATTCCCAGGAGCAGAGAGGCTAGAACTCCCACGTCATTTACCCGACCCCCTGACTTTATAATCTGTGGCTTGGTCCCTCTCATCTACAATCGCCCACTTTACGGCCTGGGCCTTCTTCCCAGGAGCTAGCTTCTGCATCAGGAAGGAAAATCAGAAGAACCATGCCCCTGCCTCTGAGGGGTAAGAGAAAGGCCTGGAGCCTGGGAGAAGGGCATCAGACAAAACACCACAAGCACAATACAATTGAGCAAGATCCTGTGTATACAGTAACACGCAGGCTGCATTTGGGACATACGTGTACCAAAAGATCATGAGCTGTTTATTGGAATTCAGATTTGACTGGGCATCTTGAACTTGTCTGCTTAGTCTGGGCCACCCTAGCGGAGGAAACTTTCGCTGCAACTCAGCCATCGTCCAGTGACCCTCCTCATCTAACTCTGTGAGCAAGGTGGATTGGCTAGGTAGGTGCTGAAGCCTCTGTATGGGAGACTGGGCAGCGATGGCCAGCTCTGAGACTCCTATTCAGTTCTAGCCGAAGCCCTGCCCAGAGGCTTACTGACCCCAGATAGTAAGTACTGTGTGCAAGTACAGCAGCAATCAGGCCTTAAATCCACTCGGCTCCCTGCTTCTGACACTTAGGAACTACTGGTGTGCTAAATGAAGGCATCTGGTGGCTCCCTGAGAGCTAGCACCCACCCTTGAGTCCTGGAAGCCACATGGTTGATGTGGAGTCACAGATAAAACTGATCTTTGCTTTCTTCCCGGCACAGAAACCAAGCCCGCTGTCAGGCTCAGGATCCAGGGTCTGACTTTGAGGTCCTATCATAACCAGTGCTGCATGCTGGGTCTTTCCCTGGAGCCCGTGGAGTGGGGTTTCTCTAAACATGTCTAAGGAAAAAACAACCCTCAGAGCAGAATTATGTTTCCTCTTCCCAGTTCCTGTCAGTTGGGAGAGACAGAGAGGGAGAGCGACTCAATGCACAGTTCAGCTTTTACCAGTTAAACAAAAGCTTTCCAAAGTGGAAAAACATTTTGCCCATCCTTGGGGGTGGGGGTGGGGGTATAGATTTGGGTTTGAGCTAAGGCATCTTTCAAATGACAGCCACTTACACAAACCTAACCTTGAAAACAGAATCTATAGACACTGGGCAGAATCACCTCCCCCCAAAGTCACCTAAAATCAGACTGATAAGAAACAAAATCCGAAGGCCACACCAAAGACCTGCCTGCCTACCGGGACTGCAACCAGCCCCATCTGTTGCTCAGGGCAGCCAAACCCTCCCTCGTTCTATCACAGCTCAAAGTAGGTTATCTAAATAAATGGGAGAAGAAATCAAGGAGATATATTAGCGCGGTGGGGTATTCGTCATCGCCTCTGTCCTTCCTTCCCCAAGAATATCGGTGATGAATTTGCAAATGGTTCTGGATTGTGACAGACCTCTTTTCTGTCTTCATTATTTATCCCTTCTCTGGGCACCTCGATTAGAGGCCACAGTGACAAATGCATGAATAAAAGGCAAAGACAATATTTGAGCAATGTGTTGTAAATCTCCCTCTACGCATTATTAATTTAAAGGAAGTCCATTACACCCAACAGCTCTGAAGAGGAGAACGGGGTAATGGGAGAATATGGCTTCTGCCCGTTGGGGGTCAGAGAAAGAAAAGGCAAGATCAACCCCTCGAGGAGGGGGTGCAGGCTGTTCTTTCACCAAATCCCGAAGCCTCTCGACCACCTCACTTTCAGTTAATAAAAGAAAACATTTGCTCCCTCAGACACAATCTCATTTTGCAAAGTGGAGGACGGGCATGAGCTGAAAGGAGCCCATTTCTCAGTACCAGGTTCTGACAGCGATAGAGACGGGGAGTAGGTGTCTCCCCCTCGCCTCCCTTGAAACAGAAACACTGCTCGCACCCAGAGAAAGAAAAAAGGAAGCCGGTGGCGGAAGGTGCCATGCAGGAGCAGAGGTGTTGTAACAATGGAGGGGTCCCTTTCTTCTCCTAAAGAGAATTCACCACAAGTCTGCTTGCTGCAAAGACCAGAACAGCACAGCTAACGGCAAGAACACAGGCATCCATCCCCAGGCCCAGAGACCACACGCTAACCAGGACAGCCGTGGCAGCCATCACCAAACCCTGAAGCCTAGATTTTCTTTTCCATTGTTTTCTTTCAAAGATCCTCCAAGAAAGAAGCATGGGCCTTGAATCTCAACACCTGCCTCTGGCAGACAAGATATGTCCGCAGAAATCATGCCAGCTTCTGCCTGGAAATGCCAAGTCCAGAGACTTCCTTGAAAGCCATGAGGGGATAACAGCATTTCACAGATTTGGGGGTACAGGGAAAGATCTAGAACCCCCTGAGAGGTCAGGACCTGCCAGGAGCCCATAACCCATAGAGTCTGAAACAAGACCATAGGGAGGACTGGAAGCTGATGGCGGAAAACCTCCATCTACCCACGTGTACCAAAGACCTAGTTTGGGTATTTTACTTGTTTTGTTTATAACCAGAGCCTCCTTTTCTTTCCTTTTTGCCCAGACTTGTTTCCCTCTGTGAATTAGAAACATTTTTCCCATCAGTCTCCATGGAGCTGGCTCTGAACTGCTTGCCAGGGCTCTGGGCTGGCTGCATCTGCAGGCATCCTAACCTGTGCTCTGTTCCTCTTCCTCTTCAGGCTAGCAAGGCTCTTCGTCTGCTGGAAGCTGTAATAAGGCCCGTCTTGAGGGGATCAAGAGAACTGAGGATCCAGTTGAACCCATGGGGCACAGGGAAGCAGGAAGCATGTCCTTCCGAGCCTCCTAAGGGCAAAGCCCATGGTCAGAAGGATGAGGGACGGAGAAGGCACACCCTGGAGTCAGTGTACCCCACATTCCCGTGTCTTCCTCTTTGAAGCTTAAAGCCATTCCTCAGAAACATGTCGAAGTCCACCAGGAAGTGAACAGCTCTGTCCCCAAAGCCACCCACCCATCAGATTGATGGGTTGGTATGAGCTCCCCCTGCCCAAAGTGTTCATCAGCCCCCACTCCGTGGGAGAGTGCCCTAGCCCACAGTGACAGCCCGACAGTCCATTTAGGGACTCAGTGGTGGATTGTCAGGCAGATCCTAATGATTCATCCCCGACCCAGCCCGGTGACAGCTCAGCGGCACACACAGGCAAACAGTGGTAGGGCCCAGTGGGACCTACAACTCTAAAATCAGAAATTCACAGACAAAAGGGCTTGGGATGGCGAGGCCGGTGGGAACGGGAGGAATCCCTAGGCTGGTTTCGTTTTGTATTTCCCTCATCAGCCTAATTGCTTGGGAGGCTATGGCTTTCTCTGACACGGAACAAGCAAGGGAAGACTCCCTGGTAACACGCTAAATCAGAAGTTGCCGACGGCGGATGGCAATGCAGATATGCACATATTAATTTGAATTTTTAAGACAAGTGCCGCACGTGTTATTAATATAATTGCCAGTTGTGGAAACGGTGTGTTTATTGCGTTTGCTCTATCGCTTTGCGCTCCGTGCTTCTCAATGGTACGAGGGTTACGTTCAGCTGGTGTTTACTGAGCATCTGACTGTTAATCAACGTAAATTAAATGTGTACTTGAAACCCTCACTTAAAGCCTCCCTAATTATTTTTTGATCCAAACAGGACTGCCTTTTCCAGAAGGGTGAATCGGGGGCTCTCCGGGGACCAAACGGTAGCAAGAAAAACCACTGCCAGTGTTGGAGATTGGCCTCCAAAATGACATCCAGTAACTTTCTCCAATCCAGTTTCCTTTCGTGGAAAGATGGGTTGTTTCTACTGAGCCTGCTGTGGTCCAGCCTTGTGGTCAGCCCTGAACAACAGAGCCTCAGGAGTCTGTGAGTATGGTTTCTGCCTCTGGACAGCCTGTTGCTCATTGGCTGTGTGTCAGCTGTGTGTCTGCTTCAGCTGTACACAGACCACACTCCCACTACTTGTAGCTGGACAAAATATGTCTCAAATCACATGACACAGACTCAGCCCACAGGCCTGCATGTGCTTGCATGCTTATGCAGATAAAGATACAACGGCACACATATGTACCTACCTAGCCCAGGACTCTAGGTCCACCCTTGGCCTTTTCCAACTTAAGGTCCTCAACCCTCTCTGATCCCTCCTGGTACCAACCTACTCACCATGTCCACACCTCTCCAGCAATGGTTCTAGAGACAAGTTTCAGTGAGGAGCTGGTTCAGGCCACCTTAATTAACTCCCTATGACTTGCCAACACAGAGGCCCTTGAAGGGTGGCTTCTGTGGATCTGTTTCCTTCCCCCTTTGAAGACTCTTTAGTATGTGAAGAAAAAAGAATATCTCAGTACCCTAGCATGGGCATGCTTTAAATGAGAGTTTGATTGATTGATTGATGACTGACTGACTGATTGACTGATGGTGTTTCATGTAGCCCAGGCTGGTCTTGAACTTGCTATGTATCCAAGCACGACCTTGAACTCCCTATCTTCATGCCTTCACCCCACCAAGTGCTGGGATTACAGACAAGCATCACCACGCCTAGTTTTTGCTGGTGCTCGGGATTGGATCGAGGAGGGCCTTGCTCATTCCAGACGCATACTCTGCCAACCTAGCTACCTTCCCAGAACACCAGACACATGATCTTGTTAAAGAAAGTTCTCTTCTCTTAATTTTTTTTTATTTTAATTTTTTTTTTTGTTTTAACATTTTGTATATGAGTGTTTTTTCTGCTTGTATTCCTATGTACCACATGTGTGCATTACCCACACTAGTCAGAAGTGGGCATCAGATCCCCTGGAGCCGTCATTACAGATGGCTGTGAGCCGCTATGTGAACCTGGATCTTTTGTAAGAGCAACAAGTGCTCTGAACTACTGAGTCATCTTTCCAGCCTTACTCTTTGGACAGCTGGGAGCCATGTCCAATTCCGCCATCTTTGTCCAACAGGAAGCAAACACCTTTTGGAACCTTGCTTGCTCTCTTCAAGCCCTTCCCAGGGAATGCATGCATCATGTTTAGTGGAGCTTCTTGCAGGGGCTGGCTTCTCATAGATTCTGTGGACCTCTGCAGCCCATCTTGGCTATGTGAGAGTACTGTCTCCTCTCTTCTTGACAGGCCACGGTGGGTAAAATCCATGCACCATGCATTGCCTCAAGACTGGAGGTATCCCCAGTTCAGATCTTAGTCTCTTGGTCTCTTGGATGGCAAAGTACAGAAAAACACCCAAGATCCTGGCCTCCCAGAGCTCTGAATGCTATTTATAAGAGAGCATATACCTACTCCAGGTTTCAGAGTGTGCTGGCTTGTTCTATGTCAACTTGACACAAGCTAGCGTCATTGGAGAGGAGGGAACCTCAACTGAGAAAATGCCACAGTAAGATCAGGCAGGAAGCAGGCCTGTAGGGCTTTCTCTTAATGAGTAACTGATGCAGGGGGGGCCTGGGCTGGTGGTCTTGGTTTTATAAACAAAGTAAGCTGAGCAAGCCAGTAAGCAGCATTCCTCCATGGCCTCTGTATCAGCTCCTGCCTCCAGGTTCCTGCCCTGTTTGAGTTCCTGTCCTGATTTCCTTAAATGAGGAACAGTAATATGGAAGTGTAAGCCGAATAAACCCTTTCCTCTCCAACTTGGTCTTTGGTTATGGCATTTCATCGCAGCCATAGAAATCATGAGACACAAAGGCTGTTTCCAAGTAACAGTGAGTGTGAGTCCATTTCAGAAAAGCCACTCCCCTCTTAGAAGTGTGCTTCCCCCAAATCAACTGTGTCCTGAGTGGGCCTAGGCCTCTCTGTTTTAATTCACAAAGCAAACAAAAGCGAAGTTCATGACTTGATGGGCTATCTTTAGTGAAACAATGCCCAGCAAAATCTCAGCATAAAACCATGCTCTCTGCCTGAGCCTCAGTATGCACCTGAAGCTCACACACACCAGCCTAGCCAAATGAGGCAAGCCCCAGAGGGCAGTGTGGCATAAGCTGATAAGCACCCTCCTGCAGGCCAGGCTACTTCCTCAGCCTCCCCTGGCCAGGCTGGTACTCAGCAGATGCCTGGTCAGCTTCAGAGACAACGGGAACCACCTGCTCCCTGCTCTCCTCTCTCTCTGCCCAGGTTCTGGCTCTGTCCCCATCTTTCCAGATTCTTGAGGCGCAATCTTTTCTACCAAGTAGACTTAGCTGGCTTTCTCTATCCTGAGGAAAGAACTAAGGATTTGGCTTTCTCTCTCCCCAAGATCTCTATTCCCAGAGAGGCCTCCTCTGTGTGTCTGGACCATGGTCAAGGTTGACAGCGTCTCCATCTTAATTCACCCTGCAAGTCCACTATCAGGGTAGCCCCACTACCACACGTCCCCAGCCTCCAACCACACACCTCAGCTTCCCGACATTCTTAAAAGGAGGAGTTCATAAGCTGAAGAACTGGGCTGAGCCACAAATGCCAACAGAGCTCTCACTAACGTCTTGACCCGTCACCTGCCGCCTTTCCGTATGAGAGAGGTGCTTAGTCAGAACTGTGTGACCTCACAGACTAGAGAAACGTATTAACAATAGTTGGCCTTCTGAAATGGCTTCCAACACAAATCAGGCCAAGGACAGTTCAGGGAAATCAAGCCCTTAGGAACCCTGACATCCTCAGAGACACAGGTGGGAGGGAGGTAAAGCTTTCCAGGGGTTCACAAGCAGCTGCTGCTGTGGCTGAGTTAGGTCCAGTGGAGCTCCACAATATGCTATATGGCAAGTCAGGACATGAAGCTGAATGACATGGAGTGACCGGTCTTCCCAAGGTACCAAGATTCCTCTGCATGTGTCATGTTCTATTATCTAGTTCTCCTATCTGTCTCTGTGAGAAAACACTAACCAGAAGCAATGTGGACAGTGTGCTGGACAGTGTCACCCTGACACACAAACTAGAGTTATCAGGAAGGAGGGAACCTTCATTGAGAAAATGCCTTCATAAGGCCCAGCTGTAAGGTGTTTTCTTGATTACTGATGGATGAGGGAGGAAGGGAGGAAGGGCCCAGGCCGTTGTGGGTGGTTCCATCCCTGGGTTTGTAGACCTGGGTTCTATAAGAAAGCAGGCTGAGAAAGCCATGGGGAGCAAGCCAGTAAGCAGCACCCCTGCATGCCCTCACAGAAGCTCCTGCCTGTTGAGTTCCTGTCCTGACATCATTCGATAATGAAAAGCAATGTGGAAATATAAGCCAACTAAGCTCTTTTCTCCTCAACTTGCTTTCTGCTTTTTGTTTTGTCTCAGAACAGAAGCCATAACTAAGACAGACAGGGAAAGGTTCGTGTGGCTTACATACATTTCAGTCCATCTCTGAGGGAAGTCAAGGCAGGAACTGAAGCGAGACCATGGAGGAATGGAAAGACTGCTCACGGACTCACTTCCTCCGCCTTGTTCAGCTCTCTCTCTTGTACATTCCACCTGCCTAGGGATGGCACAGCCACGGTGATCTGGGCCCTCCTGCATCCATCATCAATTAAGAAAATGACTCACAGACGTGGCCACAGCCAATCTGATAAAGGCAATTCTTCAATTGAGGGCCCCTCTTCCTAGGTGACTCTAGGCTTCTGTCACGTTGGCAAAAACCACTATGACAACTAATGCACAGGGTGCCAACCAAGCTAAGAGCACAGCCTGCAGGAGGTTAACAGTCAAGTGAAATGCCTTGGCCCAGGCTGGCCCACTTGGCTTGAGGGAGATTAGTCCCTCAGGTGAATCACTAGACATTTGGCTATAAATACCAAGTCCCCTGATGGTCCAACTCTGATGAGTGTCTATGTCTCATCTCTGTGACCCCCCGATTCAGAGAAAAGGAGTGTAGCACTCCCTTTTACAGGTTACCAGTCTAGCCCAAATTGCAAGCTCCAAGTGCAGTGAGAGACCAGGTCTTAAAATATGAGGTAGGAAGGTCTGGAGCAATGGCTCAGCAGTTAACAGCACTGGCTGCTCCTGCAGAGCACCTAGGTTCAATTCCCAGCACCCGCATGACACCTCACACCTGCCTGTTGTAACTTCAGCACCAGACAACCATACAGTGCGCAGACATGCATGCAACCAAACCGTCTCGCAGATGCAGAAATTAATGTAGAATATTTAAGTGCCTTAGAGATAGAACTCATTTGTTTTTTTTTAAAGAGAGTAACTGAAAAACACACCTACCACTGACCTCTGACCTTCATACACACGTGTACATATATGTACACTCACCTGTACACACATACACAGAACAAACAAACACTGAAGTATTCCAGTTGCTTCCCACAAAGCTACTGTTGCTCCTGTCAGAGAGAGATGTAGAGAAACCCAGGGAGGGGATTGTAAGAAGCCGTGTGGTGCCCTTGTGCGGGTGAACAGGAACACGGGTATCTGCGTGTTCCAACCCTCTCCTTTCTCTCCTCACTGAAGCCTTCTAGGCCACTCTAAGTTAACACACCCAGAAAAATCATCTGCTCAGATTGGAAAGACACACAGGTCTAGTGGGCCTTTCAAGAAGAAGGTGGTGGCACATTCCAAAGTGGCTGGGCTTTCCTGACTACACTGGTCACTACAGCAGCTCTCAGATTGCCTACTAACTTTACTGCTGCTACTCTGACCTGAACTATTTCCAATAAGAGAAGCAAGGTCTTGTTCACGAGAAGGTCTCTGAATTAAACGGTGGAAGGAACCTCACCGGCACCCCTGCATTGTTCTTGAGGATGCTAGGGACACAGCTTAATCATTTGCTAAACTGGGGAACGCTCTGTAGCAGACGCTAAGTCTGGGGAAAATGAAGCCCAGAGTCAGGGAGAGGCTGTAGGGCACAGACTGACTGGGAAGCATGGCATCACCTGAGATGGCCATAAGCAATCCTCTACTAAGCACACAGCATGT